TACTTGGTGGAGAAAGAGGAATGTGTCCAGAGCAAATAGACCCATTTGCTATCAAACAAACAAGAATTGTTTTGCCAAATTAAATGTTCATACTTTCAACTGGAAAAACACATGATGAATTATATATGCTTCAGATATAGGATTTCAAAGTAATTCTCAGGCTTCCTACTGCAGTGTCACAATCTGAGTTTGATGAAGGGAGCTGGCTTTTCTCTCCTACAAGAGACCATTGCAGGGACAGATAATTTTTCTTGCTAGTAGAAGGTATGGCTTCATATACTGGAGGTATATGATGAGGCAGGGAAAAATCATGAGTGGCTTTGGATCTGTACTTGGCAGCACTAAGGGCAGCCAGACCAAGGCTTTCTGCTGTACCTTGGTTTTGATTTTTTTCCCTCCCAAGCCTTATCTTACATTGTAATTTTTCTCCTGATACTTGTCACAGCAGTGGGAAGCAGGAGGGAGTTTATTCAGGTTTCATAGCTCCCCATTCTTCCTACTTAGTCAGTTGTGTCTCTTCCTGTCAGACAAGTTAGATACCTGTGCCACTGCCCTGGTGCTGGTACAGCCCTGACTTTGAGGTCACCCTCCTCTGGCAGCTGATAGAGCATTGCCTTAGCATTGCCCACACTGCTGGCTGTTGCTTTAGGCACACAAGAGAGTTGGAAAGGCCACCACTCACTTCTCTGCCAAAGGTGTGGTACAGCTGTCTTCAAGAGCAATAAGGCTAGAAATCCCTCTGGAGAGGAGAAGCACTGGTGAGGATAGAGTAGGGTCCCCACAGATAAGGAGCGACTCTTGGGGCATAGGAATCCCTCAGAGAGTTGGCAACTGGATCTCCTAGGTGTACTACAAGAAGTTTTGAGGAGAAAAATTAATCTGCATACCATTTAGATGGCATTCACTCCACGCTGACATGTAGTGGGAGACTGGTGTAGGGAGAGGCTTCAATAGGAGGTGTGCAGAAACCCACCCTCTGAACATCTCTGGCTGAAACTCCCACTCTGTTACAGCCAGAAAAGTCTTTTAGCTCCTTGCGTCCCTGTGACCTTGGTTTGGCAAAGAGTGAATACAAAGCGAGGAGCAGCTTAGTGCTCAGAAGTGTAGCTAGTTAACTACAGCTGTCTTAGATCACCCTTCTTCGAGATCTACAGATTGCAAGGCAGGAATGGGGGTGGGGGGAGAGGATTTAGTCAGCTGATGAGCCTGGCTTCTATGTCTCTTTTAAGAAAGCGGATTTATTGGTATTAAACATGTCTCTCTTAATGTGGGTGATTTAAAATGGAAATTGCCTTTGAAAGGGGATTTCCTATTAACTAGCTGAGAAAGAAAAATAGGATAATACCATCATCCCTATACAGGGTCCGTAGATGAGATGCAGGAACAGAATTATTTGGTTAACTGCTGCTTCTTCAGAAATTATAGCTTCTCTGTGGGAGTGAACCTTGCTCAAATTCCTCCATGAGGAATGGTTGTATAGATGCTTCTACAAAGTTATTTTTTATGGAAAAAGCAGCAACCTTACTGGGTCCTTTGGGGTTCAGGTAAGAACACACTAAATACTAATTCTGAGGGCAGGATCAGGAATGTGTCCAGCTCTTCCAAGTGTTATATTTGAGGCCAGATGGAGACAGAGATGCTAGAAGACTGGAATGAGTATTCACTTTTGTTACCATGCAGTTAATGCCAATCAAAACTTGGATTAGTTAATGATCTTAGCAAGAAAAAGAAAGCCTTGTCTATACCCAAATTTGCACTAGTTTAGTTCAGGTTGGCCCAGTTATCAATTTAATTAAGTCTATGCAGCCTCTTTATGTGGAAGAATTGATTTACTTAATCTGAACTCTTTAGCTTTGGTTAAAATACATCTGTACAAGGGCATGACTTTATAGCCAATGGAGATGGAGGTGGATATATGTAAGGTAGGTCTGGACAGACCAAATCCAGAATTCCTATCAACCAGCTAGTGCACATGGGCAGGGCAATGCCACATTAGTATCATTATATGCCACAATTAAGATTTTCTAATGTCTGTGTACTATATCATGAAGCAGTGTAGACATGCCCTGTCAAATCTAGCAATCAGTTTGGGGACCAAGGCCCTTCCCCAAGTCATTCAGTCAGGGCACAAAGCAACATGATTGGAAAGAAGCAACCTCTAATTCTTCTGTCTTTAGGTGGTCAACTTGGAGCAAACCATGGGGGTGATCCCAGCCCCTAATGGTGATCACCTGGTAAAAACAGTGTCAGCTGTCGGGCTTGCCCTCATATGACCACCCATACCAGACAGATGGTGCCAGCATGCACCTGAGCTCAGCCTTCTCCTGAGGTGGCTTCTGAGATTGCCCAAGGCAGCCTGGGGAGCCCCTTTCTCAGCTGTGCTGACTATAGACAGTACTCGGCTCACCCTGAAATCTCTACCCCCTCTGAACTCAGCTGACTGCAGGCAGCAAGGCCAAGCCTTCAATTTCTTCTGAGTGCCATGAGTGCCATCCAAGAGTTTACTGCCTCCCAGTTGCTCACTGTATCTGCTTAAAAACTCCAGAAGAGTGAAGGACAGATGTGACCTTCTGTTTCCAGCTCTCTCATATAGGAAGTTATGTGATGGTAAGACAAGGAATTTTGGTGTTTGGGAACCACTAATGCTGGTCCCAGGAGGTGCTGTGACTGGCACCTGAAGAATAGCAGAAGAGCCAGATGGAATAAAGAGCAGCAAATAGTCAGTTGTGGATTGTGGATCTTGCTGCTGTGTATTTGTCTCCTGCCACTGTGGTTTACAGCCCCTGAGAAGCTCGTTGCTGAAGACCCAAGGATCTGCCTACCCTGTGTCTGGGGTGGCTGGTTGAACCACTCTCCTCCACAGGATGATCATGTCATTGCACCTGCTGAAGGTCTGCAAGTACAAAGTGTGTTCTCAAAGGCAGATAAAAACATTTTGCTTCGTTTGAAAGACTGGACTGAGGCTGCAGGAAATACTCTTTGTATTGCAACAGTCCTGTTGAGGGGAAGGAGGATTTAAGGGAGGTGGTGGGCACTTGGATCATTTGTCTTGGTCTGATGAGAGGAAGATGACCCTTGGTATATTGCATAGAATTGTAATTTAGGTTGGAAAAGACCTTGATTGTGTGAAGGGCAGAGAGATGTGGTTAGGCCAAGAGCTGTGCTAGGCCTCTTCCCTGGGACTCAGGCAATGCAAGAGGGCAGTCTGTGGCGACTTTCAGGATGTGGAGAGGCCAGGGTGTGAATGGGGGAATGGTGGAGGTAAGGGTGAATATGTAAGTGTAAGGCTTGTGTTGCAAATATGGCTTCTGTCCCAGGTTGCCTTCATCGGCACTCTGCAGTTGTGCAGACCAGTCAGCCAGAATGGCATCTGGAAATGGGGCTGCTCTGTGTGGATGATGTGTCCTGATGACCCATGACAAGGGGAAGAGACAAGGAGTAAGACAGCAGACTGGTGATATGTTTGGTGCCTGTATGAAGGTCATTCCAAGCTGAACTTCCTTGGCCTCTGTGCTTGTGTGTGCTGGGAGCATGCATTGATTAGTTGTGGGCATTCTGGCTGCTTATTAATGGCAGGAGTGCCTGGGATAATGCTCTTGGTTGATGAGGGAAGAGAAGAGGAAGGACATGAGTAGATCTGAGCTTTGCCTGGATGGAAGAGCTGCTGAGAGACAAAATGGTGGCAGGCCCATCAGCTTTGGAGTGGATCTGCAGTGGGTTGCTGTGATCTGCCATAGCTGGTTGCTTGGAGCAATTTTGTTGCTTGGCAACCCTGTTGTCACCATTCAGATGCAATATCCGAGGAGGGGCACTTTGGAGAACTCTCACTGGGAGGAGAAGGGGGAGGCAGGGGGCGAGAGTAGGTACAATAACCATGGGGACAGGGAGCTGATGAGCATCTTGATGCTATATGGGGATGTGGGCAGAGCAGGTGATGAGAAGGCTGGGCACCCTGTCTTGATACTGACCAGGGTTTTGAGGAGATATATGGGGCATGAGGGTATGGGGACCCTGGAACATGCCTCCCCGTGACTTTGTGAAGGCATGCTGGTAAACAATGGGGCTATCCATGCAGCCAGCATGGTCTTTCTCAGAAATTCGGGCTCAAAGACCCTGTAAAGCATACTTCTATGCTTCTGCAGAAATTGACTGAGAACGGGAAAGCAATGGGACAAATTGCCCAGAGAGGCTGTGCAGTCTCCATCCTTGGATATTTTCAAGACTCATCTGATTAAAGCCTTGAGCAACCTGTTCTGATCTCACAACTGACCTTGTTTTGAGCAAGAGGTTGGACTAGAGCCTCCTGAGGTCCATCTCAGCCTGAATTATTCTGTGATCCCATGACTGCCCGATGGTAAGGAGTGGCTGCTGTTACTTTGTCACTGTGCTGTAGGATGCCCGCAGAACCAAGCACTTCGGGTCAATACATCACCTCTGCAGTTCCCAACCCTTGCAGCCATCAACAGAAGCTTGAAAACAAAAATGGCACACCAATGACAGTCAGATTTGCAGTTAATAGTGAAATCAGTTGTGAAACCAGTTGTTCCTGTTCACCTCCTCAAAGGAGACTATACTCCTTTCATTGCAGCATACCGAGGTACCAAGCAGTTCTGAACTCTGTCAGAGTTCAAAAGAAAAAGCAGACTTTTAAGGAGACAGTCCTTTCTGATGAAAACTTTGAAACTGGTCTTTTGAGCAGTAACTCCAGGGGACATTTATCATCTGTCCAAATGCAAGATACTTGTTATCATACAGCCTGAGGCCCACCATTATGACCCGAGATTGTGTGATTAGTTAGTTCTATTCAGCAAGCTACTGGTAGCTGCACAGAAGAATAATGCAGATCTTGGTGACATTTAGAGGGGATGGGGCTGTCACCAGCCTGGTATTGCTCCTCTGTGTCCCAAGAAGTTAACCAATATCAGTGGTCTCACCATGCTGTTTCCATTAAGTAAAGAAACTGTACAACTCTTTTTTTTTTTTTTTTTTTTTGTGAGCTGGTTTATTTACAGCTAGTGTACCTAAAGACTTGTTTCATGATTACTGTAGAAGCAGATGATCATGACCAGTTTCCCTGCTCATTGCCTTACCAGTCAGGAGATACTTAAGTTAGCTTTATGTCAGCATCGTGTTCAAGTGCATCAGTGCCTCTCAGGTAAGCTGTCCTTTCAGATCACTGGGTTTTAAAGCTGTGGTATCATGCTAGCCTGGCTCCAGCTTCTGGTGACCAGAATGGTCCACTTGGGTCTAGTGCCCTCTACCACACATGGTCATTTTAGATGGGGATTCCTGCAGTCACTAGCACAGTCCTCCTCACTCTTTCCTTGAAGATTTACATGTTTGGAATAATGGTAGTTGAAGCCAAACTTTCTCTGCAGCAGTTACGGTCCCAGAGTCTCTCTTTAGTATGCTTAGAGAGGAAAAATACTCAGTTTGCATTTTTGGGGGATAAAGGTTGAGGGAGATAGTGGTAATCACCTGAGGAGCAGAGACTGGCTTGAACTCAACTGTTAACTTTACATTGCATGGATGCCTGCACCCAGGCCTTGTATAGCCTCCATCATCTTATCCTATTTCATGTTTTTTGTTAGGGATCCTATGGTGTGGGCTGCTGGCTTTTCTTCTGGTGGAGACCTGGATCAGGACCAAGGCCTTTTCCAGAATCATATTCTGGGACCCAATATATGTGAATGAAGAGGAAAAACAATTCTGGCCCCATTATTTTTTGGGAAGCTATTTAGATTTTTTTTTGCCCAGCTGCAATTGACTGACTGATTCCTGCCTCCCTGCTGGAGAGCATCAGTTGTGGGAGATGGGGACCAACACTCAGTGGGTCCATGCTGTTGCACATCCAATACTGTCAGCATACAGCCTTTAAGGCCAAGCGTGCCACACACCTCAGACTGTCAGCATACAGCCTTTAAAGCCAAGGGTGGAGAAGGACAGCTATCAGCTTCTGTCAATGGGTAGCAGCCTAGTTTGAGGCACTGAGATTGTCACAGGAGAGGTAGGCACTGGCATGGTGTACACTTGTTATCCCATCATGATATGCCTCATGTCACAGCACACCTTGTAGTGACCCGGAAGGAGTACTAACAGTTTTAGTCAAAACAACTTCTCCAGCTGATGGACCTGTGGCTCTACAAACTGTCGACCTGAGGTGATGGCTCATCAAATGAATAAAAAGGCTTCCTATGCCTTTATAGGATAGGAGCTGATGGACGGGTGAATGGGATGTTTGACCCACCATGTGTGCATTAATGCAGGCAATACTGGGTATGTGTTGGATGCCCACATCTTCAGAAGTTCTCTTTGTCGTGGCCAGGTCAGGCTTTTTTCTGCCTGTGAACAAGAACTTTTTTAGCACACCTGTACTCCAAATGATGTACCTTATTCTTGCATCTCCTTCTGGACATGGCTGGCCATCACGGACATTGCACTAGGCCTTCAGGTCCTGCTGACTTTTCAAAATGTGCATTTTTAGTCAGTTACCTGTAACAGTATCCCAAGGTTTGCTGACATTTCTGTAGCCTGTTCTGGATAACACAGGAAAGCAAGGCCAACAAGAAGCCATTTCATCAACACTGGATTTGCTGAATTCAAATCTACCTTTGCTCAGCCCAACAGAGCCACCAAGCATTGGGTGACTTCTGGTAGGTAAAGGTCCCTTTTGATATTATATACATCTGTGGCAGAATGGAAGTGAATATAATTCACAGTTATAATTAACCAGTCATAGAATCATAGAATATTCTGAGTTGGAAGGAACCCACAAGGATATCTGAAGTCCAACTCTTGGCCCTGCACAGCGCAGCCCCAAGAATCCCATAATGTTCCTGAGTGCATAGTTCAAATGCTTCATGAACTCTGGCAGGCTGGTGCTGTGACCACTTTCCTGGAAAGCCTGTTCCAGGGCCCAAGCATCCTCTGGGTGAAAAACCTTTTCCTAATATCCAAGCTAAACATCCCCTGACATAAAGTCATAGCTCTGCCAAATACTGACCTCTTCATTACCCTGTCCTAGCATCTCTCTTCTCTCTGCATCTCTTGAGGTGCCACAGGGAACAATATAGCTGAGAGACAGACCCTCTCTAATGTTTCTGAAGACAAAAATATCTGGGGAAAGTGGCATTAGTGATATCCTTTTTCCCTGTGCGTTTACGTCATTAGGTTGTGGGCTGTCCCTTGTGTTATCTGTGCCACTGAGACAGTGTCCTCTGTCCTCTACAGAGGCTGTGCTACAACAACAAAGCTGTTAGTTGGCAAAGGCAAGAAGATGGGGGCCTCAGGAAGTTGAGTCACGCAAGAGACACCAACCAGTTTATGGGAAAAAATGTACAATTCCTTCAGGTAGCATGAAAATACACGGCCATCCTTGGCCTAGAATAGGGACATGACTAAGAAGGACAAAACAGCCTGCAGGTTCGCTTGTTGTGGGCACGAGAAAGCCTGCTAGCACATCAAGCCCAGAGTACTGACTCCTGACTGACATAGGGGCTGAAGAAAAGTCCAGCTGCTCTTTTTGCCACGGCAACAAACCACAGCTCCACAGGAGTTTTATGTACTTGCATTTAAAGGGCACAACAAAGGACAAATGGCCTTGTTGTAAACTCAAACAACACAACAGCATAAATACAGGGGAATAGCATGAAAAGAGCACAGAATATAGTCACAGATTTCCCCCTTCTCAGGCAAACCTATTTACAAGGGCCAGAAGAAGCCAAGATTTTCACTGTGAGCTGCTTTAAGCTGTCCTTCCAAATAAATGTTGCCTTGCTGTAATGCCCAGCCTCTGTCCTTGGACTGGGAAAGTTGCCAGAGTGTGGCCAAAGCTCTAGGTGGACATTTTCTAAAGACGGTGAGGGGAGAGGGACAGAACAACGTGTGCTTTTCGGAATTCAGTGCTTGGTAAGGATGAGGAAAAGGCACACGCCATGCACAGGAGTGGTTCATATTTTCCATTTTCCCACTGCCAAGGCATAGGAACGCAATCAGCACTTGGATCCTGGAAGTAACATGATGAGGAGACGATACACTTGCAGGCTTGCTGGAGGATGGAGGCTGGTCAGCTGAAGACATCCCTGGCTCTGAGTTCATAATCACTGTGAAGATGAAAGATAGCCCATATTTTAGTAAGGCCTGGTCTTGGGATCAGGTTTACAGCTGATGTATGGGGAAAAAAAAAAATCAGAGCATTAGATATTCTGTGGACAGTGCATGCCATCAAGATACTGAGGTCTGAGTTTGGGTCAGACCTAACGTGAGAGCAAAAATGGGCTGCTGGGCTTTAAAGATAAATGTTGATCCATGACAATTTGATGGTAGATTAAAAGATGCAGCTGAATTGTATCAGAGGTATTTTACTTATTGCCTTTTCCTAGATGTCTACGTAAAGGAGAAAAGAAGGTGGCAGTTTTCTTTAGAATATAGAGGAATCTGACAGAAATCTTAATGCTTCTTCCAGCTAGAGGGCTGAATTATTGAGTCAGCTGGCTCACTTGGAAACAGCTCAAGCAAAAGAAATCTGTCTCCATCTGCATAAAGTAATTTGCCAAGGGTAGATCTCTTTTTTCCAGGAAGGTGTGGTGGTGATGGGGCAGCATGATAACTTCAGTTGCTGGAGGTAGATATTCTTTCCCAGCTCTGTGAATATTCAGGTTTAGCACATGCTTTCCCATCCTTTCAATTAATGAGACTACTACATAAACTGGCAGAGGAGCAGGTGACCCTGATTCTGCCAGCTCTCAACTGACCACGGACACAGTGGTTTTCAGAGCTACTTTTGAGCTCATTAACATCTCTCTTCTGTTCGCCCCCGGGTAAGGAGCTGTCTTTGGGGACCACAGCTGCATGCTAACTGAGCTAATTTTTCACTTTAAAGTGTATCTACAGAAAACATTTGTCTTAAATTAGATGGTCAATGCAAATCTACAATAAATGGTGGATTGAACACCTAACGCAAACCCTATGGGAACATCTCCAGCTCACCAGCTCTTGGCTTGCTGGTGAAATCATTCTTACTCCTCTTTCAAGGAATGCTTTCAGATCCATATTTCTGCATTAGAAAAGTGGTCTGCTTTTCTAACGTCATACTACTCCTTTCTCAGAATCCTTGTCAGTACAAATAATATTTTCCTTCTCTACCATTTCTACCCCTGCACCCATTTGGTGAGTTATTTGCAATACCATCTGCTTCACCTGAAGGTGAACGAGAGGAACAGAGAGAGACTCAGTGCTTTTATCAACCCTGAACTTTCCTGAACAGGAGCAGGGTCTTTTGGGATGTCGTGATCTACGGGGATTTTCAGAATGCTGCGCCAGCAGGGAGCCCAAGCTGGTGACACTAACCAATGCCTCCTCACTGCCTTAATGTGAATCCATTTACTGAATATACCCACTCCATATGTACATCTGTGTAATAAATGGTATCAAAAGTTCTGACAGAGCTTGCAGGTGAAGGAGGACATGGGAGGTGGGTGGGATTTCATCTTTGCTTTCCGTACATCATTTCCCTGTGTTAAGAACTGAAAGGAATTCATGGAGAAAAGACGAACCATGTGTTCAGGAGGAAAAAGGTAATGATGCTTTGCTGACAGTAATTTTAGGTCATAAGGTGTTTAAACAAAAAATACATTCTTTGGGAGAAAACTAAATATTTGTGTACACTGCTGCTGCCAACTTTTGCCTTAGAGGTGACAACTATTTTTAAGAATGAAGGATTTATTTTTTACCCGCAGTAACTTAATGTTCCGAGTGAGTTTATAATAGCGTTGATTAAGTGGTAGCATTTAGTTTGAGTGAAATATCAGCCCTGATGTCTGTACTCTTCTTTGCTCCAGACACTTGTATCATTCTTGGAGCCATTTAACTTTACTTATTCCTTTCACAGGAGGCAGTTCATGTTGTACCAATGGCCCATTGAACAAGCATTAAGGATTTGAAGCTGCATAAGTGAAGCTGAGGTATTCTGGGTAGCCTGAAGAAATCTGTGGAACAGCAAGTGAAAAGCTGGATATGTCCCATTGCTTTGTCTAGACACCATTAAAATGGAGTAAGGCTTTGTCTGCTACTTAACTAGCATGCAGGCCTTCTGTGTAAGAAAAATTAATGTGCTTATTTATGATAGCACCAATACCGTAGTACTTTGACCCAACTATAACACTCAAAGCAAAGAAGTGGCAATGTTATTAACTTTTTTATTATCTACAAGAAAGCAAGATAAAAGGCGAAAACCAGGAAGCTTAAGCGACTGAATCTTATTGCCCTGCATTTTTGTAGTGGATAGTTTCCCTTTTAATAGTGGGAGCTGGAAAGCTAAGTTTCTTGGAATGCAACTAGCTGAGCTTTTGCCTTTATATAGATATTGTAGAGTGGATCCCTGAAGGTGTTTGCAGCAGCTCTCAGTAGCATGAACAGTAAACTAGATAATTGGTGTGTTGGTTCTCATCCAATAATAATTTATTTCCTGGGAGCAACTTCAAAGCTTAATCCTAGAATTAAATCCCCTATTCCTCCTTGGGATTTTAATTTAGTTTTGAATGCTCTGATGGATCCTCTGCTAGAATATTGAAGATGGCTTTCAGACATAAGGGCGATTTTTCTGGCTGCTGTATGCCCTGTACAGAGAATAGGTGAATGGAGGCACTTTCCTGAAGAAGCTCTTTTTTAGCGTTTCCTCATGATAAGTTGGCAAAAGCTACACCTTAT